TCATCCATCATCCATCCATTCATCCATCCATCATCCATCCATCCATCATCCATCATCCATCCATCCATCCACCCATCATCCATCCATCTGTACATCCATTTTTCCATCCATCCACTTAACCCCTCATTCATATAGAAACACTTATGATTTTGATGCATTGCAAAATAAGTTTCCACCATGGATGTATGTCCCCCTTTGTAGTTTCAGCTTACTTACCAATGCAAAAATAAGGCCGGGAAGTGGTGGTGCATGCTTTTAATCCCAGCACTTGGGAGACAGAGGTAGGCAGATCTCGGTGAATTTGAGGTCAACCTGGTCTACAAGAGCTAGTTCCAGGACAGGCTCTAAAAAACTACAGCAAAACCCTGTCTTGAAACCCCTCCCCCGCAAAAAGCAAAAATATTACATATAAATTGCAAAGTTTTGACAAATGAATACATCTGTGTGATGATCACACTCCACTAAGGTATAAGACTTGGGCTGGGGAGAAGACTTGATGGTTATGGGTATTTGCTTCAGAAGACTCAAGTTCAGTTTCCAGCAGTCACGTGGTGGCTCACAACCGCCTGTAACCCAGGTTCCAGAGGATCTGATGCCCTCTTCTGGCTTCCCAAGGCACTGCACAGACATGGTATACACACACACACACATACATATAAAATATATGTAGATCTTTTTTTCAAAAGGATACCAAATTTGTCATGCCTTGAACTTCATTACTCAGGAGGCAGTGGCAGGTGGATCTCTATGAGTTTGAGGCCAGTCTGGTCTACACAGTAAGTTTTAGGCCTGCCAGGGCTACACAGTCTCAAAAATAAAAAGTAAAATATATATATATATATATATATATATATATATATATATATATAACCTTGTTACCACCTAAGATGATCCCTATCCCACTCAGTCCCCAGAGAGCAAGTGTTCTGACTAGGCTGGCCTCAAACTCAGAGCAATCCATTTGCCCCATCCTCCCTGGTGATGAGTCACCATGCCCGACATAGACTCCCTTCACAATGGATCCTGTCTTAGAACACCCAGAGATAGCAACTTGTGTAGCTGATTTCTCACCCAGAGCTAGCTCTCTGTGAAGGAGGGGCTGCTCCCAGACCCATCCCCCAACCCTGGATTTCCTGACCACAGGGTATTGGGTTAAGATGGGGTTCCGGTGCCACGGGAGAGCCTACCTCACACTTGCAGCATTAGAGTCTGCTCTACTTTTTCTATAATAGGTCTTTCTTTGGACTGCCAACTCCTGAACAATGACATTGAGACTTTTTATTAACTAGGAAACCTCAGCTTAGCTTAGGTTTGCTTCCAACTAGCCCTTAAATCTTAAATTAACCCGTTTATATCAATCTGTGCTCTGTCTTGTGGCTCATTACTTCTTGGTACCACATGTCTGACTTCCTCTGCATCTGGCTGACAAATCTCCTGCACCACATTCTTTCCCAGAGTTCCTATCTTTGCCTGGAAGACCTGCCTCTACTCTCCTACCTAGCTTTGTCCATTCAGCTCTATTAAACCAAACAGAAGTTGCTTTAGGCAAGTGAGGTAAAACAGAGACACATCTTTACATGGTATACAAAAAGATTATCCCAATATTTTTCCCGTTGTATGAGGGGATTTTTGGATATTGGTTAACAGTCCTTTCTCAGACAGTATGTTTTACAAAAGCAAATGTTTCAGGCAGGAATGTGTGCTGTTCAGTGTCTAGTTCACAGCTCAGAGGAGATGGCCCAGGGAGCACTTCTCTTGAAGGCCCCAAGCTACCACATCCCTGGGACCCCAGGACCTCCTGACACCCTGATCTGGCACGTCTGGATCAGATGATGCTGTGTACCACAGCCTCCGGAAATGAGGGACGGAGCCGGCTCAGCAGCTGAGTGTGTCCACAGATATGGCAGATATGAGGGAAGAACAGAAGCAAGTGGAAGCCCTGGGGAACAGGCACAGGGACACACGTGACCATGTTAGCTTTAACCTCTCTCACACCCTAGTCTAAGACTGTGGCCGAGGCCGGAGCTAGTCTCTGTCCATAAGTAAAAACTACACAAGTAAGTATCCACTGCATAGTGGCAGCTCCATGAATCTTTTATGAGTAAATGGTTTTTAAAAAACGGTTTACTGTGAGCCATCAAGATGGCTCTGTGGATAGAGGTGCTTGCTGCCAAGACTTAAGTTTGATCCCTGGCACACACAGGATGGGAGGAGGGAACCTCGCCAGGTGTCTTCTGTTCTTCTGTCCTCCGCAGTAGTGTCATGTGATTCTCCTCTCTCTCTCTCTCTCTCTCTCTCTCTCTCTCTCTCTCTCTCTCACACACACACACACACACATCCTTGCACATGTGTATAATGCAATAATAAAAAATGTAAAATAAAAATACAAATCTACTGTAATAACTATACTTCACCTTATACATGAAGGTCCTTTTCCAGCCCTGACATCATTCCTTGAATTTCCCTATTGGCCCGCATCGCCTGT